TTTTCGCAACAAAAGTATTTGGCCCTTAAAAAATAATTTTATCCCTAAATTTTAGTTTCTAAAACTTTAATTTTTTGTAATGGTAAGAGACCAATAGCCCACACCAAAAACAGCAACAAGCAAACTAGGAACCTACAACCATTTTGGAAAGTAGGACAGGAAGTTTATTGGTTTATTAGCTTATTTATGTCATACCACATCTCTATTATTTTACATTTTTTTTAAAAAAAATCAATAAACTAACCTTTTTTTTCCGTACTTTTCAAAATAAGCCTAACCTTAGCTACAAACGGCTGGACACATAGTGGCAGCAGTATAACAAATCTGAAAATGTGAATTTCCTCAACTCAGGTTTCGTTTTGGCCCAAAGCACAACCCAAAACGTAACTAGATCGATAATCTCCTCCCAATTGGGTTCAATGTTCTCAAAAGCACATTTGTTTCTCAGCCCCCAAATTGACCACATAACCGCACGTGGGATCACATCCCATGCAACTTTCTTAGCTCCTTTAAATCTCCAGCTCTGCCACCATTCGAGTAGCGAGTTAACAGAACCAGGAACCACCCAGACAAGACCCCACCAATTTATAATTTCAGACCATACCATCCACACCTCCGAGCACCAAAGCAATACATGATCTGAGGATTCGACTTCATTTCTACACACAAAACATAATCCTTCTCCCTAAGAAACATAATCCTTTTTGAGCATTTCTATATGCATTTCATTTTTGGGAAAATTAATAATAATATCATGTTCAAATCTCTGATTTATTAAAAACAAAAAAGGAAATTACTAAAATTTACTTCCTTACACTTTATTTTCTTCTTATTTTTTCCCTTATGAAAAGAAAACAACCACTTCATGGAGCGATCTGGCTTAATGGGAGATTTTTCAGTGTGCAATGCACACCGTGTACAAACCTAAATCACATAAGTTTTTATGATTTTTTTTTTTTTTTTTATCGGCAAAAAAGATTATATTAATGTATCAAAAGCTAGCACAATACAAGAGAAGATACATCAAGAAATAAGCTAAAGGGCAAGCATTAAAGCTTAGAGGATGAATATACTTTCACAAATTTATATAAGAGCATCAGCATCAGTATTTTCAAAATAACAAAAAGTTAAATATAGGTAATAAATTATCAAATTCTTCATCCATCAGTCACAACAAATTTTTTCTAAATTAATTTTTTGTTAAATTTGTTACAGTAACTCGTCTGATAAAGCGAGCAACTGTTCATCGCTAAAACACGCGATTTGGGTGTAACCGGACATCCGCCCGGAAGTCCGGCCAGTCAACGACAAATTTTTTTTTTTTTCTTCAGTTTTACCTTTTGTAAAACAAAAGAATCGTTTGGTTGATAGCTCATCAATTTTTTTATATAAAAAAAAATAACAAGTATTTTAATAGGATTAAGTTAAAATAGAGAGTTTGATGCAGTGGGTGACTAGTTAAAATAGAAAAAATGACTTTTTAAGTTATAATTTGACTAAAATTTTGAAGAGGATGATACTGATGCTCTAAGTGATCATATAAAAATGTATAAGTTGAACCTAAATTTACATAAGCTTATGAAAATTTATATGATTACACAAATTTGTATTGAACTTACGCATTTTTATGAGATTAGTTATGTAAGTTCGTGAAAACTTATGTAATTTTATGTAAGGATGCATATGGTGTGCAATGCACACCCAAGATTTTTCCATAGACATCAATATCGCAACTTGAAGTCACAAATTCATCTAAAATTGCATTTTTTTAGTTGCGATTTTATTCTAGCCAAATGTGAAATAGGATATTGAAATAAGATTTTTTTTTTTTTTTAGCCAAATGTGAACTTCACAACTTTGCATCGTAGCAAAATTGAAATAGGATATTCAATCCCTAGGAAACTTATGTCAAAAAACCTGCATATATTAGGAAATTTGTATTTTTTTTCCAAATAATTTTTTATCTTTTAGGATAATATTTTTTTAATCCAAATAAAAAACACCCGTAAACATAAATATATTTTTAAAAATTAAATTAGTTTTTTAATTTATCGAAAGGATTCCATTGTATTTGGGTCTATTAGCACCTCCAAGCCAAGCACATACACCAAGTCCATATTTTCACTTTATGTTTGTGTGAACTTTTTGGATGGGAGTTCGTTTTTTTTTACTTCATAAACATATCTGGAATAGCTAATTAAAAATATTATTTATGTATACCTTCTTTATTTTTTTATTTAAAGTAATTAAAAAATCTTTGCTAAACAATAGAAGTTTATTGTGAAAATGATCCAAGTTTCATGTTTTCTATAGACGCAAGTTTCTTTAAAGGAACGCAATTGACATTAATGGATGAAATTGTTAAAGAATTGGTCCTTATGCTTTCTTTGTTTTTCTGTCGGTTGGTATCTCACCAATTTTGGGTCTTGTACTGGCATATGATTGGGCTTTCTTTACGGTGCCAACCTAATTAGGATTGTTTTGATTAGCTATGATACTTTTTGTACAACCCTGCTTTGTTGATGTTAGCCTTCTTTTGTATCTTGATATTTTATCAATAAAGTTTTTTTTTACTGATAAAAAAAAAAGTGGTCCATTGATAAGCTGCCACCTAAGTGCTTCTATTTACACCATGCTTTTACCTTATTACACTTATTTTCTTAATTCCTCCCCTAAAGAAATTTAAATTTTAAAATATATCTTTTACACCCGCATAATATCAAACTTACCGTCATCCATGACCTTTAC